GGGAACTCGCGCGGGCAGGCAGAAATTATATTCAAGTCTCTAGAGCGAAAATTAGCCAGGCAGCCTGAGCTCCGGGCTCAGTATATAGAATTCATGCGCGAGTATGAGCAATTAGGCCACATGTCGCGCATTTCGGAAACTAAGGAGGCTCAAAGTGAGTCTTATTATTTACCTCACCACGCCGTCTCCAAGCAAACAAGTACCACCACGAAATTACGGGTGGTATTCGATGGTTCGGCAAAAACAAGCACGGGTATATCTTTGAATGATAGTCAAAAGGTAGGTCCAACAGTTCAGAGTGACCTCACGTCAATTTTGATTAGATTCAGAACACACCGCTACGTTCTGTCCGCTGACATAGCCAAAATGTATCGGCAGGTATTAGTAGATTCTCGCGATATACCGTTTCAGCGAATTCTGTGGCGGACAGATCCGCGATCACCAATAGATTGCTATGAGCTGAACACCGTCACTTACGGTACAGCGTCAGCCTCGTTCTTGGCAACGCGCGTGCTCAAACAAGTAGACGGCACATTAGAGTGCAATAATCCAAGGACGCGAGTGCAACGGCAGAGCGCTCAAATCCTCCACAGATCCCATATACCTTATAGTTTTTTTTACTCATCATTCGGTACTCTTTCGAACCACTAGGTCAAATATTACACATCATGATACAAAAATTCAAGGTGACCTTCATATCTCGATGAAAAAGCGGACTATCAAAAAATTAATTATTGATACTGTTAGAGTTTAGCTTGCCGAGGTTTATGACATGGAGCAGGCAGGCAGTTATCTTTGAGACCTTTGTTGAATGCGCGTACCATCCGTGCACCAGTATTAGGATGGTACGTGACAAAATTAGTTTTTCCCTTTTTCATCTTTTTAATCATGTTTCGCTAGTTCATAGAATTTCGGACTCGGTAACACAGGCCATGTCATAAACCCCGAAGACCCAAGCGGTGACCTGGCGAAAGACGACGTCACCAAGTCCGGGGTTTTTTTCCTAACGGTGAACAGTTAGTCACCCCCATCTCTCCCATTTCTCTCGGGAAGAACCCAGTTCTCCTTCCAGAAAAGACACACGCCAAGGGCGCAATGTAAGGGAGGACACGAGGAAAGGGAAACGGGAGTGCTGGGACCGGTCAGGGTTTTTAGGGGAGTAACAGAAGAGAGATTATAGAGACAAGACAGTCAGAAGCGTCACTCGTTACTACGGTCCCAAAGCCGTTATCAACCTTTGGGTGGTCCTTCAAGAAAACTATAGACGGCACGTAGTGCAATATTCAGGGCTCGAGTACACCCTAACAGATACTAAACAACTTTCGTTTAAAATTTTTTTTTGATAAAATAAATAGTTTACGAGTAAATTTAGGTGGTACGGTTAAAAAACTCACCCTGTATACAGTATATTTCGGTCAGAGTGTTTGAAATTATGTTGTGAACGGAGGGTGCGTGGCTACCTAGGAATTTGGCGAATGCGACTGAACGTCACCTAGGAATGTTTCTATGTATATAGAGCATGTTTGAAACGAGTGAAGGAATAGGGTAATATGTGGAATGAGGGAGAATCTGAGAGTGCATGGATATGTGGTGTGGAAGATGCGTGCACGAGTTAGTGAAGAATTCGCTGTTATCGAGAGTTGAATGTGAGAGTAACTCTGCGAGAGAACTCGCAAGTATTTTAAGTAAGTTTGATAAATATATAGGGTGTCCAATTTTAATCTATAAATGCGAACTATTCGTAAACTACCTGCTGAGTGAAAAATAATTCAGAGAGGAATTGAATGATTTCGAGGGGGATATAATCTGGTGCAATTAGTTTTTTTGTAGATGAACGCGTAGAGGCCATATAAAGGAGACATACGTTTTCTTAAATGGAATCATACAATTTTTAATGCATTAGTCGATGCAGCTCCTTATCTCCTATAAAAAAGTATTAAGGTATTTACATATGTCGGAAAACCATTAGTTTAAGATATTTTTAGTCTCAATATTGCAAAGTTGTACAGTAGAATTCCGATAATCCGGTAGACTCGATACTTGGACAGTGCCGGATTGTCAAATATGCCTGATTATTGGATTATATATACACTACCGGCCGAAGGTTTCGAATCACCTGCTAATTTACGGTAAAATTGAATCCGCTGCTAATTTTTTATAGATTTGTAGTATCGGGGCCTCCATACCCAAATAGGAAACCGACAAGGGAGAATAGAGAGGAGGGAGTGGTCGTAGCGCGCCAAGCTTCGGCTTGGTAAGCCGAAGGTCCTGGGTTCGATTCCCGTTTTGGGTCCCTCAATATTTTTTCGTCGTCGGTTCCTACATATGGGGGCTCGTCCGGGAAGGAGGCATCTACGGCTGCATGAAGCCAGGCGCCTGTGAGATGAAAGAAACACGTGAGAGGGTTGTGCACGTCTCCCAAAAAGAGTTGAGAAACAGAGTTTCGGCTGAGAGTGCCACTGTGTGGGGAGAGTGTACCCCACAGTGTTGAGTTGAGTTGTGTTGCATTGAGGGACATTCGAGGGCGACTGTCAGTTCAGGATGGCCGAGTGTAGTATCGGGGCCTACATACTCAAAAATAAGAAACCGGCACGGGAGAATAGCGAGGGAGTGGCCGAAGGTCTCGGGTTCGATTTCCGTTGGGTCCCTCTCAATACTTTTCCGTCGGTTCCTACAGATTTGAAATTGACGTTGCGGAGATTGATAGTATTTTACCTTATTTCGATTGATTTGAACGAGGAAAAATTGGTTAAAATATCCTTAAAATTGTTAACTTTATTCTGGAAATTTCTGTATAACTTGTAATGCACGGTGATTCCAAACATTTGACCGGTAGTGTATGTATGTAATGTGCTGAAAACGAGGAAAATAATTTAAGAAACGGTCATATCTACACGCAAATGCACTACGACAAGTTGTATTATAATATAAAGCATGCAAAATATGTCCACGAAATTTCAGCTTTCTTCCGAAAAGGACGAAATATTAATGGAAAATATAGAAAACTATCCAGTAATAAGGAATGTTATGATGTGCTCGTGGTAGTTGCAACCAACTTTCGAGCTTTGTCGAATTTAGCACGTGGTGTGCCGACTAAATCTAATAGGTTCGTCTTCGAAGGACCACCTCCGTGATTAGAAGGACAAAACAACTATTACTAATGATCTAAACTTCTTAAAGGAGCGACTCGTGGCGTGGTCAGATGACTTCTGTCGTTCCCTTCCGCGAAAGATCCCACGACACCTTCGTGCGAGGACGCATCGCGGGGGTGAGGCCCTCGGATAGATTGAATACATTTTTCGATAGTGGTAGGGAAGGGTGGTTGGCGAAAACTATTGGTTAAAATCATAGGTGGGAAATCTACACGAAAATGCCACCCCCCAAGCTATAGGTCACTCTCAGGTACCAAGCGTACCCTTGAGTAACGCACGCGGAAATTCCAAGTGCCTCGAACAATGACCGTAGCAGACAATAACGTTAAGACGCGCTTCGCTTCTGGTGACAATATGAATGCAAAAATGTACAAGTGAAAAAAGGGGCGAAGACTCTTAGTCGAAAACGAGACAATAAAAGGTAAAAGCAAGTTCTTAGATTGAAAGACTATGATTGCCGTGGCGTCATAAAATTACCGCTGCTACGAAACGAGCGAAGGCGAAAAATATATACAATAGAACTACATGCTAAGAAATCTAAGGGTCGGGCGGCTGACATACCTGTCGAGGATTAAACAAGGAATATAAAAAAAAAACATTAGATCCGTTAAATTATATAGGGAAAAGAAAAAGTATGGTAGATACAAAATTCTTGAAATACAGAATTCGTGCTTAGGGCTACGCATGCCGAACTATCAGATGTGCCGAACCATCGGTTGCTGAATTAACAGTGGGCATTGTTTTTTTACAAAATGATAGGAGGGCAATGGAACGAAGTCAATCATATAATTTTACTAAAGAATTGATGAAACAGAACATCGAAAGCAATGAATTTATTTAAAAGATCGAATGTTCAAAGACAGTGCCTTGATTGTCAATGCATGCTTGCGTGAAATAATATGATTGACATCGTCCTATTGCCCTGCTATCATTTTGTAAAAAACTATGCCCACTGTCAATTCAGAAAATGTAGGGGCAAGTACTAGGTGTACTAGTATCACTTTGCAATATTGCAACTAAAATATCTCTTAAAATAATGGTTTTTCGACATAAATACCTTCGTACTTTTTTGTAGGAAATAAAGAGTTACATCAGCTAATGCATTAAAAATTATACTATTTTATTTAAGAAACCGTATATCTCCTTCGTAGGACTTCTCCACATCCATCTACAAAAAAAAAATACTAATTGCACCAGATTATGTCCCCCTCGAAATCATTCAATTCCTCTCTGAATTATTTTTCATTCAGCGGGTAGTTTACGAATAGTTCGCATTTATAGATTCAAATTGGACACCCTGTATATTATTATCCAGTGAACACAGTGCTGTTTATTCACGTCTGTATCTTTAAACCACGCGTACGTGGGATTTATCATAAAACAATCCCTACATTACCGACAGTGTCCAAATTTTTCTATTTCAACCCTTGCAATTAGCACTTATTATTAGAAACTCCTTCGTCCATTGTCCATGGTCCTTTTCAATTCTCCAATAGATAAATTTGGCAATTAACCCTCCAATCACCGAATCATGAAAGGACACACATCTCTTGTTCTTTTCTTCCTATCCTTCCTCGCACAACCATTAGAAAAGCAGAACCACACTTCTTTGTTTTTTTCTTTTTCAAAGATCTTTTTGTGTTCTCAATGAGGAACCTGATTTGTGTTTACTAATTTACGACAGTCTGGAAGTCGTCGTAACCTCGTGTTGCAAGACTTACAAACTTGCGAGATCTCGTTTTGAAATCGCGATTGATACGACGGTACAGTTACGCCAATTTTATAGTAATTTTAAAACGAATGTTTACCATATCTCACGTGTACCTATTTATCAATAAATTTGTTCACCTGATCGAAAGATTTTCTAGTAGTCCTTCGTGTTTTTCCAATTGTTTCTTCATGGCCTCGAAGGTGATGGCACCTCGATTAGTTTGATCGGCATCGTCGAATAGTGCGATAGTTAGTTCCTCGATTTGTTCCTCGCTGAATTGTATTCCGTTTTCTTCCATACAGGCTCTCATCACGTGCTCTAATTCACGAAGCTGTATCACGCCATCACCTTTTTACAAGATAATAATTTTATAAATTTGTACCATTCGGACAAAATACTTTACAAGAAGAGAATAGTGAAAAAATGTAGTTTTGTGAAACGGTACATCATCAATGTGCTCATAAGGGCAATCATAGTTATCTTATTTCTATCAATTTTTTCCAACTTCTTATTGCATAAGTGTCGTATGTGAGTATAAAATTTGTAAATTAGCAGGTAATGAATTTTTTTCCAACTTCTTATTGCATAAGTGTCGTATGTGAGTATAAAATTTTTAAATTAGCAGTTAATGAATTGTTTTAACTAATGAAACATTCAAATTTTATTCGACATTTTCAAAAAAAAATGTTTAATATGATGTTTAGATATTAAAAGAAATCCAATTAATTTACTTAAAGTTACAATGTAATTGATTTTAAGCAAATTTTGAATTATATTCAAATTGATTAAATGTATTACAATTTATTTGCTTTATTGTATTGAAAATTTCTAAATATGCTACTGGCACTGTAAGTAAAATTATATTTGTCAAATGTATAGTCTGAATGTATGTATGTACATATATATGCACATACAAATACTATGTAGTGAATATGTTATAATTTAATTTATTTCCTCAAATTAAAATTTTGATAATGCTCAACGAAATGTAACGAAATTTACCGTCTATATCGTAAACTTTGAAAAGGAATTTGATTTTGTCATCAGAACTCTTTCCTGCAAATTGATGCATCGCATCAAGAAATTCTTGAAGAGATATTGTTCCAGAATTATCCTTATCGAATATCTGGAATACTCTATCAGTGAAGAATGTCTGAAAAATGAATTTTTTCAGTTAAACTTAAGCTTTCATGAAAAAGCACTAATTGCTCATAGATTTCACCCAGTAATTTTGCTTCATAATACTCCATATTATAAAATTCAAATTAAAAATGATAATAAAAATTTACGAACAGTCGTGTATTACATTGAACAATAAGGGGAAATTGGCAATATTTAATTGAAAATTCGAAATGGTCTTATTGTCTTCTGCTTACGTTCTTCGAAGTGACGATTTTATTAAATTCTTCGCGTCTTATCTCTTTTTCGTTGCCCACCGTTTCCTTGAAAATCATTTCTAGCCATTCCAAACTACGCTTGTCGAAGCCAGCACGTGGCCTTTAACAAAATAAAAAAAGAGGGACAAAATGCTATTTTTCGTATTCAAAAATGGTATTCATTTGCACGAAGTGATAATGCAAAGTTAAAATCACCTCTTATCACTGACGCTTGAAATAAACTCGATAATTTGGGAGGATGTTACGTATCCCAAATTTTCTAGATCAATCAATCGATATAATTTGTCGACAATCTGTAACATATGCGTGTTAGTAAAGAAATGATCGTGTATAAAAATTCTAATATTTTTCATCAATGGAATTCCACAATATGCAATTACATACTACATTCAATGTACATTTTAATATGCATTAAATTATACATATGTATATGATGTCCTAGGCTGGTATTAAGTTAATACAACGTTATGGGATGTGAAATAGATAAAAGATATGACCCATGCTCAAAAATGTTTGATCAAGAAATCATAAAAAAGATCAAAGATTCGTTACGTGTTAAGCAAAGTTGTAGAATGTCTACTAGTTTTGTAACTGTGGAGTTGTTAAAGGTAGAAGGATATTACTATCACGTGCTATCACGTTAAAATTCAAAATTACGTGACATTCGAAAAATGTGAACTGACATATTTCTATTGCTTCAAATCTGTTGGAAACAAATTATAATCACTTTATGTGAAGCAATGTATTTCTACTTTTAAACTTTGGGTTACCTTCAAGGTAGAAGCATATTACTATCACGTGCTATCACGTTGTATCTGATAGCTGTTCGCGAAATGCTGTGAACAGCGTGACGTGATTATAATTTAGATTTAAAATAATCACGAAATCACGTAATAGCACGTGATGTCACGTGACGCGACAGTAATATGTTTCTATCTTAAACGACAAAACGAATGATTGATATCATTTTCAATTATTATTCACATAACTTTGTGATTCAATAAAGGAAACTTTATTTAAAGAGCAATAAATCTCTGATTACTTATATCTCTTTAATAACGCAGATTTTCGAATGTGAATTCATATAAACTCTTTTCATATTCTTGACCTCTTAAAAATGCTAGTCTGATTGCAACATCTTGAAACATCCTGTATATTATTAATTCAACAGTATCTTGTTCAGCCTCGTAATTGATCATTACATACAATTCGGTGAATGTAATTAATAAAGAAAGGGAAAGCTTTAAAAGTATACACTATATAGGACGAGTAATTTAAATCGATTCCCACGAATATTTTCGAAACCTTTGACGATACAGGTTTTGCACTCCAAATTCAACTTTTTGCAAATTAAAATCACCCTTTTGCAAACTCAAGTTTTTCTACAAAATTGTTTTCTTAAACTTTGGTAATAAAAATAAAATCAAATGTAAATTTATTGTTAAGAAATCCAACATTTTACTGTACATAGTGCAAAGATGTACGTTAAATACTTATTTAATAATAATTACCAATTCGATACATATGGAATTCATAATTGAACGTCTTAATCGAATAAAAATAAATTATCTATTCAAATTATCACAAAGGCAAATTAATAACAATACTTTAGTTAAACTTTGAAAATGTGTTGCAGTACTAATTCTTATACGCAAATTCAACATTACATCTTTCTCTTGTGCAGTAAAGCAAAATAGGAGCAATTCTCTTTTTCACTAAATGGGCAATGTCTTATTTTTACCTATAGAACACACTAGCGAAGTTTATACGGAAAACTCTAGGACACCCTATATAGTAGTTTCTTATGTTTCAGTTTTAATATTTTAGCATGTGTCCGCGCTGTTTGTAAATATGTACGTGTTTAATGACCTCGTGAAATTCCATGCCATAAATTTTTATGTACAAGATGTTTTACGCAATTGGACAAAGCGGTAATTCTGAACGTACAAGAAAATAAATGTTACCGAGTTACATCTCAATTTTTCAGTCGAATCAGTGTATTTCCATTAATTAATATTCTGTTCTTATGTTAATAATATAGCTTCACAATACTATTTTTAAACTAGTGCCTATATCTATAGGGGAGAGTCGTGCAGTGCCGGCCACTCTAAGTTTTTGTACTATAACTTGGGTTAATATTGGTGTTACGTACACAGACTAGCCGACACGGCGGCGCCGAGACATCCGCCTAGAGCTCACCCCCTCGAGATAAAATAAACGAACGCGTTTCGTTCCCATCGGAAAACTAGCGCCCCCACTACCAAAACATAAAGATTTTTGGGTATATAAGGGCATGATTTCCGATGCTCGGGGGCAGAGTCACTCTGAACTTTAAAGTAGAGCAGTATTCTTATAGTCGCCGTTTGACACAAGCAAGATCGGGCTCAATTCCCTTTCAAGCAACTGAGCATAATACTTATCTCGTAAGTGTCAACTAGACATACTTGTCTACGACGTCGCCGCGTACTCGCCGTGTAAAGTCGAGAAGGAAGATTCTTGCTCAGCCAGGAATCAACCAGTATACTTTATCTTTAGACCATAGTAAACTTTTGTAAACTCAATTATTATTATTAGAATATATGTAGTTACTGTAGAATTACTTCAGCCTATATTCAGTTAACCATCTCCTGAGTAACATTAGTAACGAATCAGGTAAACTCACAAGGATATATCTTTACCGCTCGAGGTGTATCCGACATTACGATACGCACTGTCCTCACAACCACCCAACCTTTCCATCCTTCGGAGAACGACGTAGTAACCACATACGTCGAAGGTTCCAATCCTATCGGACTTGTTGGACGACGACGTATCACCCACATACGGTCCATCAACCCAAACCAATATTACGCTCCGTGTGAGGACACGACAAGCGTAACCCGTAACATTGGTAAAAATGAAATTTTAAAAAGTAATTTGTAGTACAAAGGGTGCTTAATAAAAGGGGACAAATGGTTTTTCTTAAATTTTCTCATAAAGATAAATAATTCGTGGAAATAAAAAAGTTGCAATTTGCAGCGAACGAAAAATTGTCGTACTGTTAGGATAAACACGAATTTCCACCACCCCTTATACTATGCGAGGCAGGCCATCTTCACGCCGCGCGTCAGTTTTTTAAAGTTGTCACTTCAGTTTATTGATTTTGGTTTTGAGTTGATCTTTGAAATAAAAAGAGTTATTTTTGTGAACGGAATACTGAAATTTTTAACTTTAACTTAGTTAGTAGATTTTAAGGTCTAAGTAATACATAATGTTAGTAAAAATCATTTAAAAATAGAATAGAACTTTTATTTAGGCACGTCTACAAATATCACAGGTAATGTTCCGTCGCGCAGGTACGGAACGCATGGGGTCTTCGTTGACCGGGTTTATGGCACGCTCGCACGAGAAGGTTATTTTTGAGAACAAAGACGCTTCGTAGCTCCGTGATAACGGCACTTTCGGCCGAGGGTTGACCTGGCGGGAATTTCCGACGCGTCACCGAAGGACAGCGAAGATTCCACGCACCCGCAGGTAGGGCCCCACTCCTTCCAAGGAAAAGCGCGCTAAGGGCGCAATGGAAGGGTGAGTGCCACTCAAGGGGCACGTTGATTGGTAATTTGTGCGTACGTGAAAAACCAATCAGCGTGCCTTCTTGTACTTGGCGAGGGAGTCACGGCGGACTCCGGAAAAAATTCGGCAATCGAGAGACATTCGCAAGGAGTCACTCGTGTGAACAACACACACACACAGTTTCCAACCGTACGAGGAGACAACAGAGTCTTCGAATCGCCAACGATCATTCGAGTCTAGAATAAAGTCGTCAATCACATCGTGACGCAGGTTTGCTAACGATCGAGCAAAGTAAACCTTTTGAACTAATTACCCAATATTAATTTGCCGGGTAATAAGTCGTGAGCGCGAACAGTTTTGAAACGATCAAACGACCACGCGACGCGACAGGTAAAGTGATCGATATTTTCTTGATCCGTACACTCCACGTGAACTCAACTATTGCAGCTATGAGAAATAACTTTTGTCGTACGGAACACCAGCGTAAACTTTAAACGTCTTAGAACTCTGGTAATACTGAAGAAAACAGAACGTCGCCGGAATACGTTGCTCAGGGCTATAGTATTCATATGTTTTTCCATCAAAAGTGCAGTCAACTAACAGTATAAGCGAGATCTATCTTTGGCCGGTACTGAACGACTCTCCCCTATGTATGTACGTATTCCTAAATTAATCAATCCAACTCTTAATTATTTATCGAAAGATGATAAAATACTCATATAATAAAAATTATTCATTTAAAAGACCTTTTAATTTTAAGCTTGTAAAGTGATATTGATTTTAATAATTTATAGAGGTGAACATTTTTTACTTACGTGACGAAGACTTACTAGTAATATATTATCATCTTCAATGATTTTGAAATATATAATAAACAAAGTATTGATTGTTGTTTTAAAGACTTTGTAAATATTACAAAAATTTCACAAAATTATTCGAAGTTAAAAATATAGAAAAAATAAATAAATTGACAACTTACTTCTTTAGTAGAAAATATCTGTTGAAATTTCGTGAAAGTTACAGGATTATCACCACACATGCTATATGCAACGCTTTCAACTTGATCAATAAAATCATTCTGCTTATCATTCCTGTCAAAATATAAGTTTAATAGAATGCAGTAAAATAATGTAAATGTAGCGTTTATTTATAACAAAGACTTCTAGATGATTATATTGTAAGTCTTACGTTAGTCTTCCCTTCAAGAATTCAATCCACTCGTCTTGTGTCAATAACTTGTCTTGATCTTGGTCGAATAAAGAGAACAGTTTTTCCAATAACGCCTGAAATGTATATCAGTCTATCATATGTCACTTAAAAGACTTCTAACTTGTAATCCATAAAAGCACGTTATTTCCGATCTTAATCATTTGAATGGTGAAAAATAATAATACCAGTTAAAAAATTGCAGGCCAAAATTTTGGTTAAATATTTGTTTGAATTTGTAAAGTAGATTTTTTCTACTGGAATAATACTAGCACAGCATATTTATGAGTTTAAAGGCAGTATGATTAGTGAAGTGATGTAATAGTAACATTGTTATTCAGCAAAATAAAAAATTTTGTACGTAGCCTGTGTAAAATTGTTTAAGAAATATGTATTTCGATAATTTTTTAATATCTCATTAGATGTACAAAGTGTTCTACATGCAAAGAAGCTTTTTCTTACGGGCCTGCGATTTCGATGAAATCGAATTTGAATATTCGTTAAATACTGGCGCACATGATTAGCCACAATTTGCTTGGTTCACCCAATCTGACTATTCATTTGATATGCATCCATCTCTCCATTTACGCGGATTGACCGTTCCGCGTTGATTCTTTTTACGCGGATAAAAATCGCGTAAATAGAGTCTGCTTGTATGAAAAAAAGAACAGGTATAAGTTACAAAAACATTTAAATTGCATAGGTTAATAAAAAAAATAATGATATTTCAGAGCAGCAAAATAAGTTTTATTCGATGTCAGAATCTGTACTGTAAAACTTAAATCGTAGGACAAGAGGTTAAAAAACAAAAACGAAAAAAGGTCAGAGTTGTGTAATTAGTACGTTCAAGTAAGAATTTGCGTCTCTCTGATATGTAATAAATTCAATGAAAGTTTATAGAAAACTGAACCTATCTGACCGCGTAAAATAGGATCGCGTAAATGGAGGGGTGGGTGTAGTTTAAAAGAATGCAATGAATTTCAATAATGTGTTTATTTTATTAATTGAAAAATTACTGAAAATGTCGTTTTTAATGTCGCGAACAAATTCTTGCTCGGCGAATTAAAGAAGCATGAACCGATAATAATGTGTTCAAATTCTTCACTTCCTCGAACACCTGTTGTCGTTTAATTGAAGACAATTTTGATTATCTTTAGAATAGTGAAGTCACATTAAAGAAATAGTTTATTGTAAAGTTACCGAATGTTCAACCTCGATTTTCTAGAAAACGGAGCCCTATACGAAAAAACTGTATTCCATATTTTAGACTTATTGTAAGTACTTTTACGTGAGGAATCACATTTTTTCCGGTTGTATCATGATTTTCGGAGCATCTTGTTTAATTAATCAAGGTGTAACACATATATACATATGTATATACAGGGTGAGTCACGAGAAGCAGAACACCTGAATATCTTTGTTGGATTTAAAGATATGAAATATGGGTACATCAAAATTAGAATAGTTTCGAAGGATACACATCGCCATCATAATATTATTTTTTTTATGCCATTATTTTCAAGGTCACCAACGTTGTTTTAAATGGAACTGCATACTTTTTTCCTTGTACAATTGTAGCCGACATCTAAACGAGTTCAATTATGTAACACAATATGACCTTCAACCCAGAAAAATGGAGAAGAAAAATGGAGATTTGAATGTATCGCAGCTCAAGGGAATCACAAGGGCTTACACGTTGAATTTTATTTATTCCATTTTTCTGGGTTGAAGGTCATACTGTGTTACATGATTGAACTCGTTTAGATGTCGGCTACAATTATACAAGAAAAAAAGTATGCAGTTTCATTTAAGAAAACGTTGGTGTCCTTGGAAATACCGAAAAAAATGGCATAAAAAAAAATAATACGATGGCGATGTGCATGCTGAAAATTTTATCATATATGAGTGATAATAGAAATGACAGTATGCTCTAGGGAATGTACAGTAATGCCTTGATAGCATCTTGTAAAGCAAGAAATTTCAAGGAAAGTTCAAGGAATTTATAGAGATAATAACTAATGAACATTTATCGAAGCATTGCTACGTGAAGTTATCGAAGTATTACTGTATTTGCTAAGCTATTTATTTCTAATGATCTTTATTTTAGTAAGAGATTTTCAAGGAAGAAGATACGGATTCAACTTATTTGGTGGTGCCTATTACAAAAGAAAAATCTTTTCTCTCTCTAACTTGTCACATATTTAAATAAAGATGAAAAAGAGGATAGGCAATATAAGCGAATGAATGGAAATTTAAGAATGTGAATGCTATTCTAATGTCTGTTCTTCGTAACGGAAGTCTTAAAGTTGCAGCGAAAATCAATCTGGGATTTAATGTTTACGATAAAGTTATTAGTATTGTTTTTCTCTTAGTCTCAATAGGACAGATTTTTAATATAAGATTTCTAATACAGCATTGACGTTCACTGTTAAATAAGTTGCAACATTAATATTACAAGCACTAAGGATTTCATAAAAAAATAAAATTTTCCAAATACGAGTACACGTAGTGCATTTTTAATTAGTTTACATAGGATCTAAAACGTAATTTTTAGAGAGTATGTGGCTTCAGAATAAGAAACGATATTGTTACCGATAACAATTAGAATGCATTATCGATACATGTCTTGGGAAATTACCAATGGGTACAAATGTGTTGTTAATGCTTCCTCTAAACATCTTCAAATCTCGGTTATATTTTGCAAATTTCTTGTTTCTCAACAGTTTGTTGTAATTAATAATACAGTGCATAGTGTATACAAAGTGGTCCACGCAAATGGAACAAGTCAGATTTCTTTTCCGATTATAAGTAGAAAAGAATGTTAGAGGATGTTACGAACCCACTACCTTTCCCCCACACATTGTTATTAGATACTATTATAATATTCCTATTAACATTATTATTATTAACATTATTATTAGATACTATTATTGGATTATTATTAACATTATTATTAGATATTATTATTATCATAACCAAACACCTTTATAATTATAAACCAAAACGCCAAGCAACCCTTTTCCTGACCATTGATTGGTCGGAAGCAAGGTGCCAAAACTAGTATAAAACCGACGTACCTGCACAAGGTCGACAGATAGTGTAAAACGATACTCCTAGAACGACACCCGTTCGAACTAAACATTTAATAAAACAACATCGAACACATTTCTGGAATTTTACGCCTTTAACCAACCCGAAACGAAGGCGATCTCAACCGTTACGGCCCGTTCCGTAACAGAGGAAAAAGATGAATGGTTCAAAGAGAACTATATTTTCAGAACTCTATTCTTTTCGCAAGTGCAACGTGGCACGTGTATTTTACAGTTGCACCCTTTAGTTAAATGGAAACATATTCCTTTACATAAATTACATACTCTTCAGTCATTCTTCTAGTCATTCTGCCTATAAAAATATCAGGGCAATGTGGTCGAAAAATAATTAGTTGGTGAGATATTTTAAATAAATGTCTTTATTAAAAAAAAAAGATACTCAAACGCTGCTCCGTTAAATTCGAAACACTTTATACATCGCTTCTTCATTTTAAAATATCTCACGAACTAATCGTTTAATTACAAAAATTATTATTTTAAGCAATTTGAATCTATCATAACATTCGTACGCTAATTTCAAACAAATGGATATGTATGATATTATTTAAATATACCTAAAGCTCGTTTTAACACAATAATATTTATAACTTGGCTTCTGAATGATAAAAAAAAATAGAAAAGTGTTGCAAATTAAAATAGAAGAAATCATCAGAAGCCTCGAAATATTGGATATGTAATTAAATTATTCAATGGCCTATATAAAAAACAAAATACGTAGTAAGGAAATATTGTTTAACTTATGAGTAACACGATGTTTAAAATTAAAAAAAAAATTGTTCAACGATGTTTCGTATTGAAAGCAATTTCTTTCTGAGCAATATATAATAATATATCATATAGTAAATTATTAGTTTTGCTAATAAAAATTTTTGCCAGATGCTGTTTCAAAAAGATTTTGTTCTTTTTCTACCGTTTTGCATATGGAATGCAGAAAGTTACATTCTGAAATAAGGTAAAATTTGTTTCTTATTATCCTTTTTTTAATCCTTTTTTCTAACTACATACATACACTACCGGCCAAAAGTTTGGAATCACTGAGCATTGCAATTTACACAAAAATTTCCTGAAAAAAGTCAGCAACTTTGAGAATTTTTTATCGTTCGAATCAATTGATATGAGACAAATTGATAAAAGTAGTGTTAGTTTTACTCGTAAACCAAACAAAAACTAATCTCTTATTCTCTTGATGAACGGAGATACCGTTTCTCACACTGTTTATGTGAGTAAGGTGATAACGCACCCCTGTTAGATGAGGTCATCGGTGCCTCGCGTCACCGGCTCTGCGTGCCCGGTAGAGTTAGTCTTCTCGAGACATTAATAACAGAAGGAAGTCACTTCCGATGCGTAGAGGAATAAAATATCCAAGTATTAAAAGCTGAAGCAGTTTATTTAAAACCCATTTTCCCAACAAATAGAATTGAGATAAACTTCAAATCTATAAAAAATTAGCAGCAGATTTAATATTGATGAAAAGTGGGAGGTGATTCCAAACTTTTGGCCGGTATTGTATGTGCATATGTACAGTATATTTATATGAAGAATGCGTGTTCGTTATAGTTTATTTAAAATTGGAGAAAACCACTTTTAAAAAGTTCCGGTTGTTGTAATAGAATGAATAAGTTATATGTAATTTTTTCTACAACTTTCACTTTTGTTAATTGAATATTCATTGAATTAAAGGAAGGTATTTTGTAGGATTTGTTAGTGCTATAATAATGTGCTGATGTAATTATGAAGTTATGTCTGATTATGATGTTCGTAAGAAAGGGAAAACTCAGTGAATAATGGCATTAATGAAATTCATCGTGGAGAGATCCACAGAAAATACTTATGTTAAGAAACGTTAATTTATATACTTGGAAAATGTAGTGTGGCGACCAGCTGTAATGCAGAAGCAAGCATTTGCCGCGCGGACGACCAACACGGTTTATGACGGGCACGCTAGCAAAGCTATTTTTGAGAAAACC